AATTTGTACCTTTCTAGGAATCTGTCCATTTCGTCTGTGTCTTCTGTTCTGTGAGAGTAAACATTCCCAAAGTAGCTATTGATAATCTTCTGAATTTCCACTGAGTCTGTGGTGATTACACCCTTTCATTCCTTATTGCTTGTATTTGAATTTTTTCTTTCCTCTTTTTGATGATGTTAGCTAGGGGCCTATCAGTTTTATTTAATCTTTCAAAGAACCAGCTTTTTGATTCATTAATTCTTTGAATTGTTTTGTCTTGATTGAATTAATTTCTGCCCTAATCTTTATGATTTCTTCCTGTCCTTGGGCCTGAGTTTGGTTTGCTCTTCCTTTTCTAGATGTTGGAGGTGAAGCATTAGGGTGTTTATTTGTTCCCATTCTGTTTTCCAAATGTGTGATTTCACAGCTATAAGTTTCCCTCTGAGAACTGCTTCATTGCATCCCATAAATTCCAGTAAGTTGTGCTTGAATTTTCATTGAATTGTAGAAATTATTCAATTTCTTGTTTAATTTCATCCGTGACCCATTGGTTGCTGAGTAGGGTGTCATTTAATTTCCATGTATTTAGTGGGGGGGTTCTCATTTCTTTTGTCATTTATTTCCAATTTCATTGCACTGTGGTCAGATAATATGCATGGGATAATTTGTTTTCTTGCATATACTTAAGCATGACCTATGAACTAGTATGTGGTCTGTGTTAGAGAATGACCAATGTGCAGCTGAAAAAAAATGTGTATTCAACTGTGGTTGGGTGGAACACTCTGTATATGTCCACTAAGTTCATTTGTTCCAAGCTCTGGTTGAGTTCTACTACTTCTTCGCTAATTTTTTGTCTGCTTAACCTGTCTTTTTGGGATAAGGGGGTGTTAAGGTCTCCTGTTAAGATTGGGGTATTGGATATTAGACTTCTAATATCCATTAAGATTTGTCTTATATAGTTGGGTGCTCCCATGTTTGGTGCATACATATTTATGAGTGTTACCTCTTCCTCTTGAATTTTTCCCCTAACCAGTATATAGTGGCCTTCTTTATTTCATTTGGTCATTCTTGGTGTGAAGTTGAGACTGTCTGAGAACAAGATTGCTGCCCCTGCTTTTTTCTGAGGTGCTGGGGCATGTAGTATTGTTTTCCATCCTTTGACTTTCAGCCTATGAATTTCTTTATGAGGTAAGTGTGTTTCTTGTATACAGCATATTGTTGGATTTTGTTTTCTAATCCACTGTGCCAGTCTATTTCTTTTAATTGGTGAATTGAGTCCATTTACATTAATAGTTAGAATTGAGATGTATTGACTTACGATTGACATATTATTTACCTGGTGTTTTTTGCTCCTTTTTCTCCTGTGTTCAATTGCTTGTCCTATTTAGTGAGTTCCTTCTGTTCTCTTTCATGAAGTTCTGATCATTTTGGTCCCTCTCTAGAACATCTTTCAGTAGTCTCTGTAGGGTTGGCTTTGTGATAGTAAATTTCTTTAGTTGTTCTTTGTCATGGAAGTATTTCACTTCTCCATCAAACTTGAAAGAGAGTTTTGCAGGGCCTAGTAGTCTGGGCTGGAATTTGTTTTCATAGAGAACTTGAAGTACTCTGCACCATGCTCTTCTTGCCTTCTTGGTTTGTGAAGAGAAGTCGGCCATAATTCTGATGGATTTTCCTTTGAATATGATCTGTTTCTTTTCTCTAGCGGCTTTCAGTGTATTATTCTTATGCTGGATTTCTCGGATCTTGACTGTTACATGTCTCAGTGTGTTTTTGAGTTGAAGTTATTCGGCGTTCTGTATGCTTCAGTTACTGAATGTCAGATTGTTTTTCTCATATTTGGGATGTTTTCTGCTATTACTTCTGCCCATATTCTTCTTATGTCATTTGTATTGATTCCTCCTTTCTCATTGATGCCTATTATTATCACATTGTTCATCTTTGCATCGTTTTGCAAGTGGTGAATTATTTTTTTCTTGCATCCTAGTTATTTTTAAGAGATCTTTTCTTACCTTTTCACTAGCTGCACCAGCATCTTCAAGATCTGAAACTCTGTCTTCACTTTCACTCACAGTTTTGCAAGCTTGTGATTGAGATTTTAATTTCCTCTATAGCTCTTTGACTCTGCTTCATGTGACCTATTTCTTTCCTGTATTGCTCATTCAAGGAATTCATCTTTTTTCTAATCTGTTTTTTAATCAGTGTCTTCTTTAGAAGCAGCTATTAATTCTTCTTCTATATAGATCTTTTCTGATCACGTTTCCTCCATATGCTTCTGCATTTGATTCTTTATTTCAGATGCTATTCAGAGATTTCTTTTTTTTTATTTCAGAAGTTATTTCTGATCTGAGTTCCTCTATACCTTTCTGCAGTTGTTTCTTTACTTCAGACGCTATTAATTCAGACATTTCAGCTGTGTGTTTCCCAATTTCTTCTGTGCTAGTGTCTTCTGCACTTGTTCTGGGAGGGCTCGAGGCCTGAGGTTGCATTTTGCTCCTTTGTCATTTTGTATAGCACTCTTCTCTGACTTTGGTGTAGAGCTTTGGTGCATTTATAACCTTAGCACCTACTGAAATTCGGTTGCACATCTATTAAGTTTGAGTTCATCCAGTTGTGCCAGGCTTGAGTCTAGCTGTTGTGTTCAGCTCCTTCCTGCTGCAGCCATTGGAAGTGAACCCGTTGTGCCTCTCTGGCAAGACGTTCTACTCCTGGATTAGTTGAGTGTTTTTGACCCCTAGTCTCTCTGTGAGGACTTCAGCTGCAGAGTTTCACCCCGGGCCTGTATGTCAGGCCTGGTCTAGGTCTGGAGGGATCCAGGGGGCACAGAGGAGCACGGAAACTGTCCCACACACTTGGTGGGTCTGGTCTTGGTCTGGATCTGTGGGGTCCCAAGAGTGCAGCAGAAGTTTTTACTCGTCAGGCTTTGGGGGGGTTGGGTTCCGGAGGGGTGGAGAGGTCCCAAGGGCGCAGCAGAGAGTCTCACTCATGTGGCATGCTTGGGTTTGGTCCAGAGAGGTCCCGCGGGTGCAAGGGAGCCAGACGCTCTCCCATACATTCGCTTGGCTTGGGCTGGATCTGGGGGGTCCCGAGCACACGGCAGAAGTTCTCACTCGGCAGGCTTGTGGGGGGGGGGGGCTCCGAAGAGGTGGAAGGGTCCCAAGGCTGTGGCAGAGGGTCTCACTCACGCAGCGTGCCCGGGTTTGGTCCAGAGAGTTCCCATGGGCCTGTTTCTGCTTTTTCACCTGCACTTGTATGTGTTCTACATGTAAGTTTGCCTGCCCCTCAGTTCACTTTTGGGAGGCCATTCATCTTCTGGAAAGATGAATTTTTCACTGCAGTGTCTAAAAATTGCTTTCAAGAAATCCTAAATTATCAGAATTGAAAAAAGTTTCTAGAGATCATCTAGTTTACCCTTCTACTTTATAGTATCTCAGTTCCGCATGCTAGCAATTTTTTCTTGAAGTTGTTTATCTATAGCATATATATCTCATGAGCTTTGAAGAAAACCACTTAAGTCAGTTATTCAGTTTATTTGGACTACCAATGTATAACACTTCTCTTTTGCTAAGTTTACACTTTCATTTACCTTAAAATCTGAATTGTCTCCTGTCCCTATAAAATATTGCATTGAATTTGGCCCTTGTCATACAGAATTGACTTAATAGGAAAAAAATATGCATTTTGACTCAACAACAATTCATGAAAAAAGTTGTAGTTGAAGGCAAGCTTGAGTAACCCTAGCACTTGGGAGGCTGAGGCAGGAGGATGGCTGCAAGATCAAGACCAGCCTAGGCTACAGAGTGAGTTCCAAGCCAGCCTAAATTACATAGTAATTTAGAGTAAACCCTGTCTCAAAAAACAACCCTCCTCCCCCCAAAAAAGTCTCTAATATTTTGAAAAGAAAAAGAGTTATAAGCTATTTACTATATAAATATGCTAATAATTGGGTAAAATTAACCCAAAAGCTAATGGGTTCAATTTATAGTCATCACAGTGAGGAATCATATGTTATCGTAGATTTATTCAGTCAACAGTTCTTTCTGTTATGCATTAGGTGCTAAGATGCAGGTACAATTAAGATGTAGTTCTGTTTTAGTAATGCAGGCTACTTCAGTTTGCGTGTGAGCTCTTCCCCTACTCTCGTCCTGCCCAGTCTCGGATGCACCACATTTGCATTTCCTGCACTTCTCTTTCTCTCCACGACAGGTGTTCTTTCAGGGCTGCAGCATGTGACTCTGCTATAGGATTGCCTGATCCTGTTTTGAAGAATTTGGACAGGGAACAGGAGAGAGACTATTTGCTAATTGTTTGACCAGTCACAGATAGAAGCCATTGTGCATCCCAACACAGTGGGAGCTAAGCACTAAGTACAGGGTAGGCCTGTGTATGTGGGCCATCTGGTAACCCGGTACTGCTGATGTACCTTTCAGCTCTACCAAGGGCCTGTGGAAATTTGACACACTCAGTGTATAAGGAGTCCTGCCCTAACTTTAAAGTGAACTACTTGTTAGCACAAAAATTGAAATAAATATTATTTAGTAATATAGGAAAAAGTAATGTATGTTTCTTGGTGATAAATTATTCTGATTCTAATGTAGAGCTCATTTTTTCTAGGAACTGTTCCACATATATTAACTCAAGGTTTACATGAGCCCTATGGGATAGGTTATTACTATTTTACTGAGTAGGAAATTGGTACAGAGAAGTCAAGTAACCTGCCCAAGCTTACACAGTATAATGGGAATAGGGTTAGAATTTGAATGCAGAAAGTCAGGAGCCAGAGTCTATACCTTGAATCACTGTGCTATGCTTGAGAGACTTTGACAGAAAGTCACACTTTCTCTCAAATCAGGGCTAACATTGTTATTGAAAGTAAAGGTAGTAACTTATTGGTTGTGCTTTTTTTAATAACTCAGTAATTATACTCATTCATCAGTATAATTATCTTATGTTTTAAAATAAATGAGCATTTTGAAACTTCACTTATCTACTAAATAATTAACATGCCCTTTTTTTTACTCTAGGGGAAGACTTTGCAGTTGTACAACAAGAAATTATTATGATGAAAGACTGTAAACACCCAAATATTGTCGCTTATTTTGGAAGCTATCTCAGGTACATTATTTGTTTCCCTTTCAAAAAGCAGTAATGATTCTATGACCTAATTAATTGAACAAAATAAAGTTAGCTTTAATTCCATGGTGTACTTCTCTTCATGTTTTGAAGGTAGGATATTTTCACATAATGTGATACATTTACTTAGGGCCTATATCTTAATTTCATAGCCAGTATCACAGTCTTGGGACTTTGAAATTCTGGATGTGGTTTCAGTGAGGAAACTGGCAAGGAAAAAGTAACCTTTTTTATGGTGAATCTTTTCATGGAGAAGTAGAGGTTCAAATGTACCCTTAGTTGCCCCTTATAGACACAGAGGAATTCAGTCAGGAACATGTTTTCTTGTTATGTTTTTGTCTGAAAGTTTCTGTATGTATTTTCTGCTTCTAGCCTCAGAAGTGTACACCTCATCCCTTTTCTTCACTTTGTCCAAAGGAGTAGAAACTATAATTATTTCATTAATTTATTCTTCTAGGTTCTAAAACAATCTTAGAAAGGCAATGGACTTGTCCCCTCTTGTTCTGTTTGGGTAGGACCCAGAGAGGTTCCCTGTGTTGTTTTCCATAGCGGTTCCCTCAGGGGAAGGTAGGTTTTCTGCAAGGCCTGTAATTCCCAGCTCTTGGGAGCCTGAGGCAGGAGGACTTTCAGCCTAAACTATATGGTGAGGCCCTATCTCAAAACAAAACGCAAGCTTGCTTTACCATCCACTTCTATATACAGCTGTGGGTCTTAACACTGTTACTTAGTTGGTTTTTAGTTTCTTCTAAAAGAAAGACTGGAGAAAGTGTTACAAACAAAAACAGATCTTTCAGTTGAGATCCACTGTACTGTAGCAACAGGTTTTTTTTTTCTTCTTTTTGTGACTACAGCATTTTATAACAGATCTATGCAAAAATACAAGGAAAATGGACAAATATAATTTGACACTTGACAGAGTTGTCTGTCAGGGAATAGCTTACCTAATGAATTTTTCTAATAGATCATAAGCATATAATTAAGTTCTACAAGGCTATTTTATAGCAGGGTAGCTAGGTAATGGGGGTGGTGTGGGGGTCCTGGAGATTGAACCTGGGATCTTCCCTCTGTGGGTTACCCCAAGCTACTTTATTACTTTTGAGATATTATCTTGCTGAGTCACTGAATTGCCCAAGTTGGGCTTAAATTTGTGATCCTCTGGTCTCGGGTTCTCAGAATGTCAGAATTGCAGGCAAGTGCCACTGTTTCACTTCTTGAAGAGATTCTGAGATTGAACCCTATAAAACAGAAGTAGTGCTATGGAAGTAAGAGGGAGGGGACAGGAGAGAGAACGAAAGGTTCCTTCTAAGTGTTCTTTACCCCTATATAATTTTAGGTCTAGGCTAAGAAGGTTGATGCATCCTTCTCAAATTTAATTGTTAACAACTTGGAAAACCAACAAAAAGTCTTTAACAGATAAGCTTTTAGATCAGATCCATAAAGTTAAAAGTTTTATTTAGATCAGGTATTCCAAATCTTCAAAATAGAGTACTAGTTTAGATGAGCATGATTTGTCTCATAATAATATATTTATAAATCATCATCATGTATATCATATTATTTCACCACCATTTAGAAAAGGTTTTAACATTATTTCTTAGTTTATAGAATGCTGTCTTCATTTCTAGAGATGTCAAATTAGATAAAACCAAGTCCTTGCCTTTAAGCAGCCTGTAATCTAGGAGAGAGACAGAGTAAATAGTAGTAACAATATGCTAGCTTCACTAATAATGGAACATACAGCCCCGAAGTGCTGAAGATAGCAGGAAGTAGGATTTGTCCAAGCAGAAGATTTAGAAAGCTCTGTGAGTGAATTATTTCCCAAATACTGGTAAAAGATTAGTAGACATTTATATGCGTAGGTCAGAATTTCTGGCCAAGAGAATGCATGCATGAAAGTATTTCTCATGAAATATACAAGAAAAATCTAATAGCTTCATATAGAGTCTGAGGGTGTAATTGCAGTAGGTGAGACTAAAGATATAGGCAGAGGGAACCTTTGATGTCTTAAGTGGGTCCTATTGAGCATTCCTGTTGACAGATTAAAGAGGTAATACGAGCTTCTGGGGAGATAGCTCAGTGGACTAAGTGCCTGCTTAGGCAAGGGTAGGGACAAGGTTTCAGTCCCTGGTTTTGATCCCCAGTATGGCCTACAGCAGGCCCCACCCCTGCTGAGCCAGACGACAAGATGGGGCATGGTAGCACAGGTCTATAATCCCAGTGCTGGGGAGGCTGAGACAGGAGGATCACTACAAATCCGAGCTTGTAGCAAGATCCTGTACCAAGTACATAAAAAAAATAAATAAATATAAAGAGAGATAATGCATTCTGTGGAGGATGCATTTGTGGTATGGGTGATTGAGACAAGGAGCTCAGTTGAATTTGTTGCAGTAAGTTTATTTTTGTAATCCACGAAACAAATGGTGAGCCCTACAGTTCTATAAAACTGGAATTTTTTCTAGAGGACTGGGAAGGAAAACAAAATCTTTTTATAAAAATTAAATATGTATATTTATAACAGAATCTTAGCTGAACTATGTTAATAAATATCTTTTTTGGGGCCGCTCAGCCCACCTTGGGGTGGGCTTGCGCAGCAATAAATATCTTTCTGAATGCTTAGATATGAGGATAAAGGTTACAGTTAAGGCAGTATTTTATTCAGTCATTTGTTTCGTACTGAGAGTTGAACCTAGGGGCACTGTACCACTAAGCTACATCCCCATCCCTTTTTAGATTTTTGAAACATGGTCTCACTGAAGTTTCCAAGATGACTGGGAAACAATATTAAAATATTTTATATTTACAGAAAATTTCAAAGATTATAGAGAGTTCTCTGCATATATCCTTTATTTCTCTTTCCCCAATGTTAATACAACCACGGTAGTTCGTCAGAGCTAAGAATGATACTGTACTGTGAGCTTAACTAAGATACTTCATTTGAAATTTATTGGTTTTCTGCTAATATCTGCTTTTTCATGTTTTGAAAGGAATTAGGACTTCAGAAAATGCTAGGAAGCACTGAGGATTGTTAAGTGTAGTTATAGAGAAATAGGTCACCTTGTGACCAGACAACGTAGCTGCTCCTTATTGCTAGAGGGATGCAGACAGAAGAGTTACCTACTTTTCAAAATGTAAATGTGTATCCATCTAAAAGCTGACCAAAACATTTTAAATTTGACTCACTATTAAATAAATTATCCTATTTTAAAATACCTAGTGATTATTAAACATTTTATTTTTCACATTGATGGTTTAGGTTGAGTGTTGAGTTATTTTGATGTATATAGTGGTAGTCATTGGTTAGTGCTTCAGTCAGCAAGAAAATCCTCAGGCCAGGGAGATAGCTCAATAGCAAAAGTGCCTGCTTGGCAAGCATTAGGATCTGAGCTTGAGCCCTGGTATCAAAAAAAGAAAAAAGGAAGGAGGGAAGGAGGGAGAAAGAGAGAAAACAAGAGAGAGATGAGAGGCGAGAGAGGAGGGGAGGGGAAGGAAGAGGGAGGAGAAGGGAGGAGAGGCAAAATGAGAATCATTAGTAAAATATTAGGACCAGATGTCCTTTAGAAGATGACAAGTTGTGTTTCTATCAGACAGCCACTAGTTCTTAGTTAACTTGGTCACAGTTTGTTTGACATAATTTGTATTTGGGAAAATTTATAAATAATAGTTTGCTCAATTGGTTTCAAGTCTGTGATGTGTTACAAAGTGCAGGGAGATTAAAAACTTTGTGTTAGCAGTAAGGCTTTCACATCAAGAGACAGAATTTTAGTTTTGTGCACTCCAGGAAATATTAAGCTGGAAAATTTCTTACTTTAGTTTTCCATTATTTAGGAGATAGAAATTTTTTCAAAATAAGGCAGAAGAATTTTAAGGATTTGTTGGCTGGGGAAATTAATCATTGTACCTTAGTGATTAATTTTGTTCCAGATCAGATACCCAGGGAGAATGATTTTATAGTTTGTTGGCCTACTTAAAATTGAGTGAGTGATTGAAAAGGACCAAAAACTAAGACAGATTTATCCTCACAGTAGAGCCATTCATAGAACAGATGGGATCATTTTTCTAATAGATTGAGTATTTTTGGTAATGCTAGACTTTAACCAAGTAGAATGCTATATTTCAGGCTTCTTAAATCTTTAATATATTTATTTTCTGCCTCTAAGCTGAAAATGTCATTTTACTGAGAATGAATAGAAAATTACATATTTCAACAAAGGGAGGAAAGGTAGAGGCCAATTCAAGTAGAAAAAATTGCGGTAGTGTGTAAGAAAGTGAAGAGATTACTGTGTCCTTTTCCCTGCCAAGAATTGTTTTCAAACTGGAAAAGAAGGGAAAATTATTAAGGTGGAGGACTGGCCAGATAGCTCAGCAGACTAAAGCGCCTGTGCAGGCTGAGTGTGGCGGCTGGTTTGACAACCTGTGTGCCGTGCCAGCCCTGCCCCGGGGTGTGCTGAGAGGGCAACTGAGGCTGGGCGTGGTGGCGCGCACCTGTAATCCCAGCACTTGCGAGGCTGAACACAGGGTCCCTACAAGTCCGATCTACGTAGTGAGACCCTGTAGACCCTGTAGACTCTGTCCTAAATACTGAAAAAAAAATTTAAAGTGGAATTGAAGTATAGATCAGAAAGGAGATAATTACACAGCAGCTAGTAATTTAAAAAACTTAACCTTTTAAATTTATATAAATTATATTATTTTAAAAATTTAGGAAATGGATTTGTCATCCCTTGTTGGTAAATGTCTTTTTACACATAGGTTTCAAAAATTAAAGATCAGCAATGACCAATTTTCAAAGAAAAGGAAAAGGTGATTTATAGAAAATACAGACAAACTTGAGGCAAGTCATTCCTTGTCAGTATTTAGGATAAATTATAAATCAGATAATTAAACACTTATAAGAAATGATTAGGACTTGGGGAGGTAGCTTGGCACCTGCCTGGTAAGCACAAGGACCAGGGTTCAATTCCTTGCACTGTATGCCTTGCAAGCCCCAAACTCTGGACACCCCTGCTTGCCACCAAAACCAAAACTGGGCATGGTGGTGCATACCTGTAATCCCAGCGCTGGGGAGGCTGAGACAGGAGGATTGCTAGGAGTCCAGCTGTGTAGCGAGACCCTATGCCAAATAAACAAATAGATAAATAAACAAATAAATAAATAAAAGATTTTTTAAAAATTTAATTAAGTGATTTAGGGGCCGGAGAGATGGCTCAGTAGAATAAGTGCTTCCCTGGCAAGCGCAAGGGCCTGAGTTCAATCCCCGGTTCCGCAAAAACAAA